TTGCTACCCATATTGTACAAACACATCCTAGGGTTACCCGGGTCCACGTTTTGGCCTATTTCTCGAGACCCTGGTATCCGATTCTTAAAATTTCAAAACACAAACCATCTACTGAATAGTCCAAACAAAGCCTAAAAATTTGGTTTGGATAGGTGAGCCCGTTCTTGAGTTATAAAGTCACAACGAAAAATGGCATTCATTTTTATATATATAGATAGTATTCTATCATCATAGACTACAAATTAGTAGGTATTTAGAATGCAAAGTGAAATATTTATTTTATGCATTAGCAAGTAGAGTCTACTCTCGCCCCATTCTTAAGTAAATATATACCATTTTTGATATTGGACGCCAGAAATATTCAAAGACGACATGTGTATCTTACTTTCCCATATGATAAATATCTTTGAGAAAAAAAATAGTTTTTCATATTTAGCCTTATTCTGAGTTTGGCCCGATATTTTTTTTTTAACCGGCCGTAATGAGCCGACATATGTAAGCGAAAACAAAAAACGATTTCGGGCGAAAACGAAACCCATAGTAGTAGGGCTTATTATCCATAAGAGACGCCCCCTTGGCCAGCTTTTGTGTTAATGTCCCGTATTTTGAAAATCAGCTGTTTAAGTTTTTCCATAAAAATTATAAGGAAATAGAGTTCACTACAAAAAAAATATGGCTCACTATGCTCTAATACCAATCTTTGAGAAAGATGAAAATTTTTGGTCAATATCTTAGGCTCGCCCAGGTCCATCAAAGTTCTTCTTCTAGCCGAGCTCAACAAAACACGCCAGTCGTCGTGGCTCTTCCATACCAGCTGACGTCAATTGAAAATGCCATGCAAAGCCAAGTAATTCTTCACTTAGTGTTTCCATTGGGCTGCCTCTTCCTCTGCTATCACCATTGGGCTCCAAACTCAAAAAAGCTGCTTGATTAAAAATACCATTTCAACATAGATAGCAAAAATCGAGTTACAAAAAAATGTGTTCTTATGTTAATTTAGTGATAGTAATTAACTTTTTTTATCGCCACTCAGCCATGTGCGGATTAATTACATACAATTCCATTCACTCAAGTAGAAAATTAACTTGCGCTTTCGCCACTTGAGCTTCAAAGAAGAAACCACAGAGCGCATTTACGCACGTATTTCTAAGTGTTCAACTCGATTAACCAAACATTAGCAGCAGCACTTCATAAAATATCCATTAGTTGTAATTATGTACAAAAAGGTGATATAATTATTTACTTTTTATTATAACAGTTTAGTAAAATAAAATGCCTAAAACTCTAGACTTTATACGTTCACAAGTGCATATTTGCATATGCATACATATACATAAATATGTAAGTATATTTGCACATTTAATTCAATATCGTTTATTGTTTACTTAGGTTGACTACCACTAAAGTAGACTTACCTAATTGAAGTGGCAAGGTGAAAAATTTTCTCGTGCTGTTATTGTACTCGGAGTAATCCAATTGTCAATTGTATGTATGTACTATGTACAGCAAAAGTGGCGGCAATAACACAAAGCAGCAATAAAACGATTCAAATGATTTCAACAGAGCGCTCATGCAAATCAAGAGCAATTTTTAAAGTATGTTTGTAGATTTCTGTGTTCACGATTTTTGTTTCACATTCACCGGCACATATCTACATATATGTATGTACGTAAGTATTTTTAATTACCTCTATTAACTAAATAGTTAATTTTTCACTTGCTTCTTTAGTGCTGTAATTAGTAATTTATGGGTTCTAAGGGTGGATTTCGTTTTAATCTGCGCTGCACTGAGTAACTATGTAAGAGCACTTCCGCGCCTTTGAGTGCTTATGTGGAACTCTTAACCTTTATTATACATATTTTGTTTAATTATTTTTTAATTTGTTTTTTTTTCTTTTAATTTTTTTAAATTAAAAAATATTTGTTCTTGCTAGCTAAACACGTACAATTTTTTTTT